GGTTTAGGGTTTAGAGGCTTAGGGATTTAGGGTGTAGGGCCGGGTTTTGTTGGCTTTTCTGATACAGGGAATTTGGTGTTCTGGAAGTTTAGGGTTCAGGGGTTTAGCGGTTGAGGGGCTTGGGAACTAGGGGCTTTGGGGGTTTTAGGGTTCGGGGTTCGGCGGCTTTGGGGTTTAGGTGTTTATGGGGTAGGGCTCGGAGATCCCTTCCTGGTGAAGGCCCCGGTTCATATGCCAACTCCCTCTTTCGCCTTAAACTCAGCTGCGTACTATGTCTTTTTGGACGTTCGTGCATACAAGCGCGCAACAGTTTAGGCAAGCAACAACAAAAACCCAAGCCTCATAAAACCTCAAAGGCCCTGTTTCACAGCCTGAAAAAACCTTCTGAGACGCTTGCACTAGCTTCTGAAGACCTTCAAACCCTTGTAAGACTTTTTCTGAGTCCCCCGACGAGCTGGACCACCTTGAGACGCTCCTGCTTAGCTTTAGGGTTTAGACTCGGCTATAGGACTTAAGGCCTTAAGGGTTCAGGGGTATGGTTTGGGTGTTAGCATTTCAGGGTTGAGTCTTCTGTTTCCAGGGCTTGGAGTTCGGACAGATGTGGGCGCGGAGGGGTTTCAAGCCCTCTTCAGAACAGCCCCTTACAACCAAACACTTACACATAAATACAGCTGTCCGTGAGTATAAACACATATACGGTAATATACACGAGCCTCGTGCACACAGAAACAGACAGTATGGAAAGAGTGTGAGAGACAGAAACCTCTCAATGAGTCTTGTCGATTTCGTCAAGGCTTGCCTTCGAATCCCCACCTTGCCAACGCTCCCATGATGAACAAATATACATCTTTATATTTATATTTCCGTTTATCTTTCTATTCACAAGTGTTTACGTATGTACGCATATATATATATATATATACTTATTCATTTATTCATTTTATATCTATATATACATACGATGACAATGTGAGTGAGTAAGTGAGTGAGCGTGCTACTATCTTCTTACGCAGTTCGATCGCATCCGAACCGGAGAACCAGAGTGGGCCTCGAGGCTGGCAGCGGAGATGTCAAGAAACCGCTCCTCCAAGCAGCGTGACATTGTGGCTTCGAAGTTTGGGTTTGGGGCTTGCGGTGGGATTCCGCCTACAACTTGACAGTTAGTCCATGGCTGTTGTGATTCCTCTGACTACGTAACCATGTAACGTCATGCTTCTGACGACCATTCCACGTGTGATTCCTCAGAAAAGAAAGGTTGTGCTGACTACGACCGAGCCGGATTCTACTGTGATCGCGGTGTTCATATTGGCATGACTCCCGTTCGCACTCATTCTGCGCTTGCTGTTGTAATCGTTGCTGCTGCTGCTGCTTTTTTGAGAATATTACCAATATTATTGCTACGCCTGCTGCCGAGATGCACTATTGATTCTGCCACTGCTCCTCTACTGGTACTACTGCTGCTACTGCTGCTACTCCTACAACTCCTACTCCTACTACTCCTACTAATTCCTTCTGCTCCGACTTCTCCTACTACTCCTGCTACTCATGCTATGTACTCTTCTTTTTTGTTTGCTCCTGCTCCTGATCCTGCTCCTACTCCCACTCCCACTCCTACTCCTACTCCTACTCCTCCGACTA